GATAGATAGATATAGATATAGATATATAGATATATAGATATATAGATATATAATCTATGCAGCCTCCTAGATACTTTCATGCAGTTCAAGGATGGCCTTGAACTCACTATGGGGCCAAGGATGACCTTGAAGTTCTGATGCTCCTGTTTCCACCTTCCCACTGCTAGGATTGCTGGCATGCATCACCATGCCTGGTTTTGTGCAGTGCTGGGAATGAAACCCAGGGCTCTGCGCATGCCAGGTGAGCATTCTACCAAGTTACAGCCTTTCCTACATCCTTTATGTCATGTGGAGACAACTTATAATACCGAATACAGTGTGGGGCTGGAGAGATGGCTCAGAGGTTAAAAGCACCCAGATATGATTCCCAACATCCACACGATGGCTCACAACCATCTGTAACTTGTTCCAGCTTCAGAAGGTAGAGACTAGATGCCCCGAATCAAACTGGCTAGTGAGACTAGTCACATGGGTGAGCTCTGGTTTGAGAGACCCTGTCTCAGTGAATAAGGTGGAAGAGAAATTGGGGATAATCCCTGACATCAATCCCAGGCCTTTGTGTGCATATGCAGACACATGCATCCTCCCCACATATGTGCCCACACATGCACACATGTGTATTTCATATTCTTATTCATAGCCTCATTCTCTCTCTCTGGAAAATGAAAACAAACTCTCCCTTCCTACCTGGAGGAGGAGTTTTCAGGAACCCCTTCTCCATGTACTAATGGGTAGAGTGAAGAACCCGTACTCAAAGCCAACAGTCACACAGCAACAAGCCCTTCTCTGGGAAGCCTTCCTACTTCTTTGCCCAGAGGTCCAAACATCTGTACCTACCTGTTATAGCTGTTTTAACATCCAGCTCCTACCTCCCCTGCTAGGAACAAGAAGGGGGCAATGGCTTCCTGAAAGTCATCCCTGCTGACCTAGTTGCTGCTGCCATCACCTGGGATGTCTTTGTAATGCTGAAGATTCAGGAGTTCAAAGTCATCCTTAGCTACATAGCAAGTTTGAGCCAACCTTGCTACATGAGATCCTATCTCAAAAGCATACAAACAAATAACTTACCCACTAAGTGAATGCGCTCTCCCAAAACTGACTTCCCCTCCTGTTGATACTAATATCCTAACACCTCCTTAACTCTAGTATAAGAGTCAGAGCAGATAACCTCTAAGCTCGCCATATGTGGTTACAGGATTACTTTTTCAATGGACTTCAAGAAGCACTTTTGTGAGCACCTATTATGTTCAAGGCAAGTAAATAAGATAGAAACTGTCATGAGAGGGCAGAGTATAAGCCCAAGTCAGATGGGGAGATGAACAGAGTTTTCTGGGGAGGAAGGGGAGGGGTGTTCACTGTATGGGAGGCCCAGTTTCTGCTCCTCCTCCTGCCTTTACTGGCCTTCTGCGTGACACATCTCAGGACATCAGTCACCTGTTTGAGAAGCCTCTGGACCACCTTTGGAGAAATGGGTTTTGGAGCCAGTGGAGGCTTGCTGAGATTGCCCATTTGTAAGCATCATCATTAAAGTGGATGTCATTAAAATCAGATCAGCTCTGTCAAAATTAAGGCAATGAAAATTTCAAGTAGATTTCCACTTGGCGGGAGCTGGCAGAGTAGGGGAACAATGAGAAGGCTGGACCCTTGGTCCACACTGAGGGGTAGCTGGCAGGGCAGGGGAACCTCAACCTGACATGCCATGACTGTCCCTGCCTTTGGCTGCCAGAATGAAAGTGGACAGAACTCTGCAAAATGAATACTGAGCATTTCCACAGCTGGAAAGCAGTGGGATCATCAGCAGGGGACACTGACATGTGCACTGCTCCTGATAGCTCCCTGTACTGTGATTTATGTCACTGGCTACTGTATGCCAGGTGCTGAGTGTTTGACAGTACCCTTCACTGAAATTTCAAAGTGGTCCCAAGGTTCCTTGCGAGGATTCCAGTTGTCTATGCTTTATAGGTGGAGACTTTTAGGCCATGTTAAGGAGAGGACTTGCTGAAGTTCACAAGCCCAGGCAGTCTGGCTGGGGTTCTGTTCTTAGCAACCTAGTTTTCTTTTCTCATAGTGGCACATAGTAGGTTCAGGGGTGAGTTGAGTAAGGGAGATGCCTTCTTAGGGCTGCTATATAAACAGCCACTCAAATTAGAGCCCAGGGTCCCTTTGGTGAGTGCTACAGAGGAAGGACCTGGGTCACCAGAATTCATGAACGGGCTCTTTAGTCCCAGGAAGGTAATCATAGACAACCTTCAACTTGAAATCTGGCCTAGGGGAAAGAGTTATCAGGGCTGGAGGTGTGCTTTTTAAATGAAGAAGAGAAAATGGATTTCCTGAACAAGATGGAGAGATATCAAGGGGAGGGCAGGTGCAGAGGTGAGGAGTCAGGACAGTGGTCATGGGCATGGTGGTGCTTGCCTATAAACCACTCCCTGCACTTGGAAGACTGAGGTAGGAGAGGATGCAGGGAATTCAAAGTCAGACTGGGCTAAATAGTAAGTTCCAGGTTAGACACAGCTACACAGTAAGACCTATTTTAATAACATAAAGAAAGTTTACTTTGGCCCAGGCGTGTGGAATGACTGAGTGATGGAAATAGGGCAGAAAAGAGAAGCTGGGCAGGTCCACATCACAGAGGGTGAGGCATTCTGACAACAATTCTGCATTTTTTGTTATAATTTTTTCCCCAAGACAAGGTCTCATGTAGCCCAGGCTAGCCTTAAACTTGCTATGTTGCCAAGGATGACCTTGAACTTCTGATCCTTCTGCCTCTCTTTCCTGAGCGCTGGGTTTATAAGTGTGCGCCACCTCATCTGGCCAGGATCTCAGATTTTCCATCAGTTCCATCAAGCCACAGCAGTGAAAGACTGGGTTGGAGGTTCCCTCTACTCACTATGTGCAGAATGGATTCACCTGGGCAAGATGGAGGTGAAGGTAGGCCAGCTGAGAGATGGACCCATAGTATCAATGGCTGGAGACAAGTGGCAGGGTTCCTCCTATATAATGGGGTAGATGTAAGGACTGAGGTTGTGAAGTGTCAGGTACCTGTCAGCCTTGAAATGTGTCGTCCTGAAAACAAAGCCTCAACATTATGTTTTTAATAAATATCTCCATACCGGGAGCAGGTGAAAGGGAGCAGGTGAAGGGGAGGGGCAGAAGCAAATGGTAGATGAACAGTCATGAGGAGGGAGGGAAAACCAAGAGCCTGGCTTCACAGGGCCTGGGCAGTGGCAGGGAAGAGGTTACCTGTCCATCCTGCCAGGCAGCAGCAGTGGCCTGTGACAGGGTCACAGCCGTCGGCGTGGCTGCAATCACAATGCTCACTACAGTTCAGCCCAAACGTGCCATCCTGTGGGGATGAGGGAGAGAAAATGATCACACCCAGGCTCCTAGAGGTCCCACACTTCCATCAGCTCTTCGGGGATCCAGAGACGGGACTAGGCCACAGGCATGATGCTTTGTGACTGGGGACCAACAGGGCTGTGAAAAGAGCACTCTAAATGATCGTCTGGCCGTATCAATAGGAATAGGAGAGAGGGAAGTGATGAAGACCCTGCCCGGTCCTTCATTATAGCCTCCAGGTGGTCACTCAAATTGTAGATTAAAATTCACTTTGTTGTTGATAGGCATAGTGGGGGGAAATGTTGCCTGTAACCCCAGCAGTTAGGAGGTGGAGGCAGAAAGAGTGCCATGAGTTCAAGATACCCTATCTCACAAAAGAAAACCTACTTTATTAATTGTTGACACACCTGTCCCACACATGGAATGAGCATAGCCTACTCTTGTCACTGGGGAAGGAAGTATGCCCACAAGGTCTTAAGTGCTCCGCTCTCTTCTCATACCAGTATTCTGGAATGGCTTCACCCAGTCTCACTTTCAAGATGGGAAGCAGCTGGAGAAACACACTAGAAGAGGCAGGAGAAAGCCCACCCACGTTCAGTCTCCTACCAGTTGGTCTAGCAGCCTGAGGCTCAGGGCTTGAGTTGAGATTGCTGCTGAATGGCTTGGTTCCATGCCTCATCCCTAGTAGTTACAGTAACCACATCCCTAGTAGTTACAGTGACCAGACTGAAACTCAAATATTACCTAGAAATAGCCATTCTGTTGGTTTGGGAGGACCGAGGGTGCCTTGGTGGGGTGGATTCTGTAGCTGCCTGTCAATCTGCTCTGCTTTCCAAGAGCAGCAATGGGAAAACATTTCTATCTGAGTGGCCACTTTTATAGATGGTAGGGTTGAGGCCCAGGATAGGAAGAGGCCATACAGAGGCTAACACTTCCTGACTCAGCTCTTCTCCATGGACTGCACAGCCCCCCCCCCCCCCCCCCCCGCCAGGAGAGTGCACAAAGGGCCAAGGTGGGTACTCACTGGACAGGGCAGTTCACAGGAGTCCCCCAGCCAGCCTGGGGTGCAGGCACAGGAGCCGTCAGAGGGGCTGCAGGCTGCACCATTGGCACAGACACAAGTCTCATTGCAGTTCAGGCCCCACGTCCCACTGGGACATGGCAGGGAGCAGTCCGGGCCCTGCCATCCTGGGAAGAGGGCAAAAGGTATCACCTAGCCATGCCCAGCATGACTTTCTGTCCACTTCCCCAGCTCTACAGGCAGCAGTCCTGTCACCATGGTTGCCTAAATTTCCCTCCCTGACACAGGGTTCACACAATTTCTGCTGCCTGGAGATGGGCCCACTGGGCCAGGGGACTGGCCTTTGGGGTATCCCCCTCCCCAGGTCATGGACAGGGTTCAGCAGTACATCCCCATTCTGAAGTGTGTCGCTCGAGCCGAGCCAGAGGCTACCCCTGAGGAATGCAGACCCCTGCTTCCCAGCTGTGCCTCCTGAGGGAGACCCAGCCCAAGACCAGAATGGGAAAGGAACCAGGTGCACCCTTTTCTCTCCCTGCCTTGGGCTGGACCTTCCTTAGGTTTTTTCAGAAGACACTTCTTTATGTAGCCCAGGCTAACCCAAACTACAGTTTCTCCTACATCTGCATCCCAAGTGCTGGGATTACAGGTGTCTACCAACATACCCATCATGGGCCAGGCCTTTGACAGTGGCTGTGTCTCTATGGACCATTAGCACCTCTACAAAGCCCTTTTAGCTTCAACCAGGTAAGTCCCTCATCCAGGCTCAGGGAACTCAGTCTCCCCATTCTGTCCCTGCAGCCCATGTAGCTCACCTTCTCTCCATGCTCCCAGAAATTCCAAACCCAGAAGGAGACCCTCCTACACTCCTAGTCTCTGGTTCCAGCTGTGGCTCTCCCTGGTTGCAATCTGACTTACACAGACTCTTTGACCCTGAGTAGTGAGTGGGCTTGAACAGCCCACCTGAGACCCTCAGTTGTTGGCACACCTGAGCCTGGGCACAGAGCTGAAGGGAAACTTACCCTCTTGACAGGTGCAGGAGCCATCCACAGGGGAACAGGTGCCGCCATTGCTACAGCTACATACAGATGAGCAGTTGGGACCGTAGGTCCCTGAAGTGCAGGGAACCGCACACACCTCTCCCTACACAAAGAGGGCCTGGGCGTGAGATGAGAGGTGTTCCCATTCTGGGTGGGTAGCTATGTAGGCATTGTAGTGTCCCTCCCTGTGCCCATGCTCTCATTCCCAGCATGTATTCTTTTCTTTGAGATAGGGCCTCACTGCATAGTCAGGGCTGCACTCAAAACTCACAGAGATCTGCTTGCTTCTGCCCAAGAGTTGGGGTTGGGGGTGGGGTGTTAAAAGCATGTACCACCCTGCCTGGCCCCTTCTGTCACATGGCAAAAGGAACTCTGCAGGTGTGACAAAGTACCTTGAAACAAGGAAACTAAGGTACTTGGATCATGGAGTCCTTAAATCAAGTGATTAGGGGGTAGGTCAGAGACATACTCTAAAGCCTCCCACAATGAAGATGGTGGCCTCTTGGCTGAGCTTTACTCAGCCTGCAAGAATGGAGACCTTACCCAGCAGTCATACAAACAGAGTCAGCCAACAACCAGAAATAAATAAGCAGGAAACTGATCCTCCTCTAGGGTCCCCCGTCCCCCCAGAGGTACTGTTGGCTCTATGATTTCAGTTGGAGGCAGGTGCTGGTTTAGGCCAACACACAGGTGAGGATTCCTGCAGCAATCTCCAGTTGGGGGAGGGTTTCAGTCTCCACCCCAGAGCTCTAGTGTGGGCAAAGTCTCTCTGCATTAGGTCTCAGCCACACAGCTTGTAACCTGGTACCTCCTATCAGTTGAACTATGGGGGAGTGAGGGGGGTGGGAGTCGGAAGGGTGGGGGTGAGAGACAGGGTCTCTTGAGTTACAGGCTAGCCTCAAAGGCAGTGTAGCCGAGGATGACCTTGGACCTTCTGCCTCCACCTCCAGCTCACTGAGGTCACAGGCCAGTGCCAAGTGAGATTTCAACCTGCTGTAATTCTCACCAGCACAGTGCATTGAGAGACAGTCCACCCCATTTGTTGGTGCCTCAGAGAAGTCTGATGGCACTGACAATGGCTTTTGAGTGCTCTCTCTCAGGATCACAGTTCTCCTTTAATTCTCAACACTCCTCAAAGACACAAACTGCTTCCTATTCTTCCCAAGACACAAAAGTAGTTACATGAGAAAGTCATGTAATGGCCCAAATCACCCCACCATGATGGACTGTATCCCATCAAGAACTAATCAATTATCCTTTGAATGAGTAGGAGAAAGAAAGCCCAACAGAGTGCAAGAAGAGGGGCTGGAGAGATGGCTCGGTGGTTAAGAGCATTGACTACTCTTCCAAAGAACCTGGGTTCAATTCCCAGCAACCACATGGCAGCTCACAGCTGCCTGAAATTCCAGTTCCAGGGAACCTGACACCCATGGCAAAACACCAATGCACATAAAATAAAGATAAATCAATTGTTAAAAAGTGACAGAAAAGTACCATGTTTTTGTTACCTCTACTTTCTTGCTGACCATACAAAATTTGTTTTCTATAATATATATCAAGTTAGAAAATAATCATGCAATTCTCCAAACTCACAAACACTGAAACTTTCTAGAAATCTCACAAACAAGACCAGCTCATTTATGGTAAAAGCATGTCTTAACATCCTTGTGACCTAGTATAATACTGACTCTTTCAATCCTTGTGCCCGTTTTTATATTATCAGCCTGCATTCCTCTAGAGAGCTTTTCAGGGGAACTCTATGGTCTTATCCACTGAAGAACAAAATCCAAATACCTACCAGCACCACCACCACCACCACCACCACCACCACCACCACCACCACCACCAACAACAACAACAACAAAAATCCCAGGTTTAGGGACTGGAAAAATGGCTCAGAGATTAAGAGCATTGCCTGCTCATCCAGAGGTTCTGAGTTCAATTCCCAGCAACCACATGGTGCTCACAACCATCTATAATGAGATCTGATCTGGTGTCCTAGTGTGCAGACATATATGCAGGCAAAACACTGTACACACAATAAATCTTTAAAAATAAAATCCAAAGTTTCTTAAAACCCTTTGAACAGTGCAACTTCAGAAGTCACCCAAACCATATAAGTGACTACAAAGATGCAAAGATGCTTAAGGGAGAGTTTCTCTTAAGAAGCCCATACCCAGGGGATGTCTCAGCAGGTAAAAGCACTTGTTTTGCAGGCCCATCTGTAACCCACATGAATGTTTAAGGAGGGAAGCGACTCCACAAAGTTGTCCTCTGACCTCCACACATGCACTGTGGCACGTGCAATTGCACTCAGACATAGACAATAATAATGAAATGAATTACAAGACCCTTTCTAAGAACTGCAGTCCCACATGTGGTTGTGCACTGGCCTCTTAGGGTCCTGCAGCTATCCTTGCAGTAATGATGGTATGTTACAGAGACATTTGTGTCCTCCTTTTTGCCATCAGACTGTTTTGGAATTTTGTTAATGGGAAGTTGGAATTTCCCTAGGAATCTCATGCTGAGAGAAGGAAAAGGCTGAGGCCAGGTGTTGGCCAGAGGGGGACCTTGTGTCCCTGTAGGAAATCTCACACAGCTCTGTCAATGGAACTGCCAATGGGAAAGGCTGAAGCACAGATATGAGGGAACCCTATACCTTGAGCATGACTGCTTAGTTATGTATGTCTTCAGCCTTCTAATGTGAACCTCATGTCAAAACCCCAAGACAGATGTGATGGTGAGAGTGGGGTGTCACTGGGCTTTTTGTGGCCATATGACCCCATTGACTAGACCTCCTTTTCTGGTTTCCATTATCACCTATCTGTTTAATTGGCCCACTGCGAATGGGTGACAGGAACTAGCTGTTAGAACTGCCTGGGCCCACACTCTGACCCGGACATCTCCAGTAATGGTCTTTTGTCTCACTTCCCTTTCATGCTCATGCTTAATCTATACTAAATCCTTCTCAAAAATAAGCTCCATCCCCTATTAACACTGACTGGCCTAAAATTCTCTGCTGTGGTCAAGAATCCCAAGCTTTCTGGTAGAACTCCTCACATTGCTGTGCGTGACAGCACAAGGCTGCTCCTTTCAGGTGACTCTCCCTCTCTGTTTACCCAGTGCATTCACTGCCTAAGAACCATAGGACATCAAAGATGTGCCCATGTCTTGGCCCAGATGCACTGGTGCCCATGTGTTTTGCTATCCTCTCTCTCTCTCTGTCTCTCTCTCTTGGTTTTTTCCAGATGGGGTTTCTCTGTGTAACTTTGGAGCCTGTCCTGGAACTAGCTCTTGTAGACCAGGCTGGTCTCGAACTCACAGAGATATGCCTACCTCTGCCTCCCAAGTGCTGGGATTAAAGGCGTGTGCCACTAATACCTGGCGCTATTCTATCTCTTTAACACACCAGCACTTCTGGAAAGGAGAAGACTCCACCTACAGGATCTTGTTCCTGGCTCCCACAGCCGGCTGCTTTCCAGTACTCCACCAGGCCTCTTCATTCTGCTGTGGGAGGAGGCTGTGAACTTCCTCCTCTCCAAAGCCTGTTTATAGATGCAGAATGGGCTGTTAACATCCTGAAGTCGATCTAAGAGAACTGCTGGTGGCATGGAAACCTCATTGCTGCCCCTGATAGACTGAAGCCTCTCCTTCCGCCTGCCTCCCTGTACGAGTGAGCTGAGCAGGCCCAGACCCTGGTGCCTAATGACTTATATGGTCTATGAAATCTGTTTCAATTGCTGCTTATTGACTTTTTCTCCCTTGCAATATGCTGCTTTGTAGTTTGGCTCTGTTTGGGAAAATTAATCAACAGCTGGGTCTCTTATGCCAAATATCCCTTCTCTTCGAAATGGTCAAGAGGTTAATGAGTGTTTTGGGCATGGGAAGGAGAAAGAGGACAGAAGGGGTTTGTTCCTCCCTGATATGGAGGAGGAAACTGTGAAAGTTCATCTCTGGGTCCCCTTAATACACTCAGTGGGTGGGAGGCAGAATAAGTGGGGTGGAACTGTGTTCTTTATATGCAGGCTAAGGAGGCTTGTGCACCTACTTGCCTATCAGAGTTTAGCAGAGGGATGCCAGGAAACAGCAACCAGAGAAACTGCCCTGGCCCACATGTAACCCCCCCCATTTTTCATGTATGTCTATGATGTGCATGTGTACATGCATGTCTTTTGCACACATGTGTGTGGTGCATGCATGTATGTACACATGCATGTGGAAGCCAGAGATCGTCAGGAATCATGTCTTATCACTCGTCCACCTTATTCACTGAGGCAGGGTCTCTCTCCTGGAGCTCACAGATATAGTTAGTTTTTTGTTTTTTTGCTAGCTGGCTTCCTCTGGGTATGGAATCACAGGAAGACTGTCATGCCCGCCTGGCATTTATCCACATGTACTTTTGCTGGAGGAGGAGATGGGATAAATCCAGAGAGAAAGACCCTGGACTTTTCATTCAGGGTTCATGGGTTGCAGTGAGGCCAAAAACACTTGGCCTCACCCACAATCTATTCAGCCCACCCAAAGCTGCTGAGTGCCCTGGGTCCTGCTAACCATCAGGACAGACTGAATGTGACGTACAGTCCCTTTCAGCTCCCATGTCCTTTAACCTGCTGTGCTTTTCCCCTTACAGAGCAAGTGCCTCTTTCTTGTGGCACTTACTACAGTGGTAATGGATTAATCACTTACAACTCCAGTGATCTCTCATTACCTAGTAGGAACATGAGGTGTGAAGGCTGAGTAGGAAGCGCTTGGCCTTGCTAACCTTATTCCAGCCCAGTGCCTCAGCTGGAGTCTGTGGTCAGTACATATACACTGATGTAATGCAGACATTTAGGATGTTGGGGGGTGTTGTTTTAAGTCAGTGTCTCCTGTAGTCCAGTCTGTCTTCCAACTCTCTCTGTAGTTCAGGCTAGCCTTGGATTTATGCAGTAGCTTGCTCCACATTCCTGGCTCATCCCTCTCCCTGCTCCTGTCCTGAGTCCTGTCCTGAGCCCTGGTGCTGTGCTTGCCACCTGAGGAGCAAGGGCTGCTTCTAGCTACAGAAGGTCCATTTTGGCAGAATTGCAGGTCATATGGGCCAGAATGAGGCTTCCCTGCAAGGCC